TTGAGGGCAGTTGGAGAAGGAGGTGACAGAAGATGAGATGGTTGGATGGCATCACCAACTCAATGGACATGACTTTGAGCAAATTCGGGATGGTAGTGAAGGACAGGGAAGTCTGGCATGCTGCAGTCCACGGGGTCGCAAAGAGTCAGACACGACTTAGCGACTGAACAACAACAACATAAAATGCTATAATCTTAAATTGGATTTGGCGAATTATTGGTATGTGCTTCTCAGGAAGAGAAGTATAGATTTCCTAATTCGTGTCAGCCAAGTCCTAGAAGCAGTGTCAGTGCAGTGGCAATAAGCACCTCAGAACCTAGATTAAATGCTGTGGTCTGTGAACACCGGGTCCTGCTGCTGGCTGACTCCAGAGCTCAGGTGGGAGGGACACAAGATAAACCGGGAAGATCTCCTTGTGCCGGAGGAAGAGAAGATGGGATTCTGTCTAAAGAGTGCAAGAGTCAACTTGGAGGAGCTCCCTCGGACTAGTAAGGGTACAGTTTGGGCATGGAAACTAAAATAAGTGGATTAAAACACATCGAACATGTTAAAATCTCTGAGGACATAATGATTCTGCCCCCCACCCCCCAAGAGCAGTAAGTTATTATTTAAATTCTCTTAATATCTGTAAATTATGTTTTAATAAAACTACCTGTTATTTATTATTGTAGTTGTCTTTAGTAGTATTTCCTCTTGGAGATGTTCGGCCATCTATGTATATATGCATTTTGCTTAAAATATGCAAAGTTGTTTATTATCATCTGAAACCACTAGATGCATTTTTCAAAAATCTTGTTTAGAAGTGAAAGATAGGATTTTGATCATTATGCAAAAACCTTTTTTCACTTTGTTGATAGTCATAATTTGAACTCTATGATTTTTTAGTCACAGCTGCAATAACTTCCCTGAAAAGTGGACCCTATAGAGTGTCATGAGTGTGAAAATAATATAAGACCATTCCCATATGGATTTTCCCACAGGAAAAATTATCTCAGGTTCACCGTGTCTAAAACAAAGCCTCACTGTTATTAATGGCATCACAATTGTACCCATTGACCATATGTGAAAATGAGTATTTCCAGACTTCTTCACCTTTGATCAGCTGTTCGAATTCTTTTCTATATCTGATCAGGTATACTTTCTGAATTTTCTCTTAATTCTGATCCACAGTACTTGCATTTTCCTGTATAATTCTTCAGAAAGGAGCTCGTAATTTCTGTGGTTCCTAACCTTTCTGATTACATTGACTCCTCCATTTTAGTTCTGAAATAAGTGAATCCTTTACACAACAGTAACTTTACCTCTGTGTATAAGGAAAGTGCCTAACGGCAGAGAGCTGGACTGTATTGAATAGTACATTTCAATGAATTTATATATTAAAAGTCTTAATCTTTAGCATGTGGTTACTTTTCTGCACAAACTTCTGTACTATTTGCTGCTAATAAATTTTTTGGTGTAGTTTTTTAAGTGCACTAAATTGTCTGCAGCTTCTCTGTTCCACATATTCAGACAGGTTGACCCATAGGGGTTTTATTATTGTACTTCAGTTTTCTTGAAGAAGTTTCTTTCAGAGTCATGCTAGTTCCCCCTCCCCAAGCTTATAGCTTCTTTTTATTGTTCTTAGTGTTCTGAAATTTTACAATGATGTGCCTTGATGTAGGTTTATTTCAATTAATAGTACCAGGCACTGCTGGGCCCTTTTAGTCTGAAACGTCTCTCTTTTAGACCCTTTAAAGAAAATACGTTGTCTTCTCCTGGGGTGGGGGGAGGTCAGTTGCCCAAAATATGCAGACTTGGGAATATCTGGCAATTTTTTCTTAAGTAGACTTCCAGCCAGTCTTATTTTTAGCTTTTCCTTTACCCTCCTTTCCAGAGATTTATGGTTCTGCTAGTTCCTGTGGTTTTTGATGAGAAGAGGTAGTTCGGTTCACTTCAGCTCAGTCGCTCAGTTGTGTCTGGCTCTTTGCACCCCCATGGACTGCAGCACTCCAGGCTTCCCTGTCCATCACCAACTCCTGGAGCTTGCTCAAACTCATGTCCACTGAGTCGGTGATGCCATCCAACCATCTCATCCTCTGTCGTCCCCTTTTCCTACTGCCTTCAATCTTTCCCAGCATCAGGGTCTTTTCTTTCTTTGCATCAAGTGGCCAAAGTATTGAAACTTCAGCTTTAGCATTAGTCCTTCCAATGAATATTCAGGACTGCTTTCCTTTAGGATGGACTGGTTTGATCCTTTTACAGTCCAAGGGACTCTCAAGAATCTTTTCCAACACACAGTTCAAAAGCACCAATTCTTCACCACTCAGCTTTCTTTATGGTCCAGCTCTCACATCCCCAGTGGTCTTCCCTGGTGGCTCAGAGGATAAAGCATCTGCCCGCAATGTGGGAGACGCAGGTTCGATCCCTGGGTCGGGAAGATTCCTTAGAGAAGGAAATGGCAACTCCAGTATTCTTGCCTGGAGAATTTCATGGATGGAGGAGCCTGGTGGGCTACAGTCCACACGGTCTCAAGGCGTTGGACACAACTGAGCGACTTCACTTTCCTTTTCCTTTTCTCACATCCATACATGACTACTGGAAAAACCATAGCTTTGACTGGATGGACCTTTGTCGGCAAAGTAATGTCTCTGCTTTTTAATATGCTGTCTAGGTTTGTTGTAGCTTTTCTTCCAAGGAGCAAGTGTTTTTTTTTTTTTTAAATATCATGGCTGCACTCACCATCTACAGAGATTTTGGAGCCCAAGAAAATAAAGTCTGTCACTGTTTCCATTGTTTCCCCATCTATTTGCCATGAAGTGATGGGATGGGATGCCATGATCTTTGTTTTTTGAATGTAGAGTTTTAAGCCAGCTTTTTCACCCTCCTCAAGAGGCTCCTTAGTTCCTCTTCACTTTCTGCCATAAGTGAAAGTGGCAGATGCCATAAGTCATCTGCATATCTTAGGTTATTGATATTTCTCCTGGCAATCTTGATTCCAGCTTGAGCTTCATCCAGCCCAGCGTTTCTCATGATGTACTCTGCATGTAAGTTAAATAAGCAGGGTGACAATATACAGCCTTGACTTATTCCTTTCCCAATTTAGAACCAGTCTATTGTTCCATGTCCATTTGTAACTGTTGCTTCTTGACCTGCATACAGGTTTCCTAGGAGGCAGGTAAGGTGGTTTGGTATTCTCATCTCTTGAAGAATTTGTAGGGAGAAGATAAATTTGGTACACATCGAGTTGCTCTTGGCTTTCTGTATTACAGCCTTAGGTTTCAGCTTTCTCTCATCTGATAAGTCATTTACTTCTTGAATTTCTTTTTTGTACCTTCCAGTACTCATCTCTCATTCCTTTTGTCCTTTTAAAATTATTCCCCCTCCCTTTAAAATCTTCTTACTCTAATTTTAGTGGAGTTTTAGGAAGTTAAAGTGGGTCCAACAGTCAGCAGATAGCCTTACTTTCCATTCATAGATAAAATTTCTAGTGACATCTACCTCTAGGTAGCTTATTTACACCTTCCCCCTGCTCTTTATTCTGAGTCTCATTTTTTTGACAAACCTTACTGAAGTCAGATTTAATTATGTTCTGAGTCTCATCATTTCCTGTGGCTTTTAATCATAAACTGTGATATCTTTTTTTTTCCCTGTATCTCTTAGTAGATAGCATAGTGTTTGGCTTTTGTGGTTTTAAACTTTGTTTTGGACATTCCTTTTATCTCATGGACAAAAAAAGAATCTTGTCATTCATTGTACTATTTGCTTACCTTGAGAATGTTTTGAAATGCACAAGGTGTATTTGGTTGTCACTGTATTGGGGGCATGCAATTGGAACGTAATGAGCAGAGATCAGAGATGCTTGAAACCCTTTGATAGGTGGAATAGTCCTGCACAGTAAACTCTTGTCCCACTGGGAGCGCCGGTATTCGGTCCTGCGAACCATTGCTGGAAGCTCCTCAGGGAAGCCTGCCTCTGCCTTGAGATTGGTACTTGCACACGACCCTCTCAGATGGTGTCTGTGTTCATTCTTACCCCTCAAGCAGTGGGACTAGAAGTATGGGCGTTTCTTCTTGATCCTCACTGCTGCTTTCTGACCACTGCCTTCCTCACTCCCTGCACCCAGACCCCTGCCCACCAAAACAAAAATCCCAGCCCAGTTTGAATTTCATGCTGTGTTAGTTTTAGAAGGAACCCATCTCACTCATATAAAAGGACTTTATGTTTCAGATTTTCACATGTCACAATCAGTGTGCATGGTTAATAATCTGTATGATTATATTATAAATATAGTAAGATTATTTCTCATTTAATAAATATGCAGTTTATATGCATTCATTTTCCATCCAGTTGACTGATAAATTAAAAGTGCAGGCTTCAGGGCACCCAAAGCCAGTGCTCTGTGATAAGCTGGAGGGACAGGGTGGGGACGGAGGTGAGAGGGGGGTTTAGAATGGAGGGGACACATGTTTACCTATGGCCAATATATACTGATGTATGGCAAAAACCATCACAATATTGTAAAGTAATTTTCCTCCAATTAAAATAAGTAAATAAAAATTTTAAATGTAGGCTTAATTTTGTATAGTGAGTATAGTTGTTACTAATTTTGCTTTTCACTATTAGAATACTTTTGAAATGCCTTTTGCCTCTGTAAGGCCATAAATATTAAACAGATACTAAACATTAAGCAAGCATCATTAAACATTTTCTAAGGGTTGTTTGTTTAAAATGCAAAGATAAGTAGTACAATGACATCATGAAACTTGTGTCATCAGAATGTGATTAATTATAATTCTATAATTAATAGAATTAATTATATGTGTCTAAATATTATATCCTTAAAATTGAATTGTAATTTTTAATGGACTATCTTATAGAAGTGTGTAAAGTGTCAGGATAATGTATATATTTCATGTGTTTGTATGTATGTGTATTTAATATATTGTTTTCTTTACCTGTGTTTTGTATAAAGCATTGACTTGTATTACTCAGCATTACCATTGTGTCATTTTGGTTTTTAGGTTGTGGAAAATGCCCTTAAAGTGAACCCAGTATTAGGCCCGCAAATGTTTCAACCAATTCTACCCTGTATTTTCAGAGGTATTATAGAGGGGGAGGTAAGATTTTTCTTAAGCTTCTAATGTTAATACTAGATTCTAGGCTTATTTTCCTTATTCTTTGGAAAATTACTTCTTATTCATTGTTAGATATGAAAAGGACTTACTGTTTGATTATTTTGAAGTAAATTACCTCGATTTCAGGGTAGTTATACAGCTTTGCTATTTCTCTCTCTACATTGGACAGTATGAATTTCTTTTGCTATCATGTCTTTCACTCATATGCATGTGTGTTCATACACAAACATGTTAAGCATAGGAATGGGAAAAATAGTGCTAGTTTTGTTACATACAGAATATATGAAAATGCTGGTTTTCTTCTAAGTTAAGCTCTTTAATAGACTCTAAATATGTATGTTAGGAGCTTTTAAAGTAACATAAATGTGTGAGTATGCCATTGATAAATATTCTTTCTTTGTTCCTCTCTTTATTATATATATACACATATATAAACCATATAAATATGTACATAATACATATATATTACCTTGTGTGACATATATATTTAGTAAGTTAGTTAGAACTCAACAATATTGGCAGTTCATTCTAAAGAAGCAGTATAAAGAAGAATATTATTTTATATCCCTGTTGATTGTTACTTTGTCAATGGTTGTTTATGATTGTTTATACTTGTACCATAACACAATTTTAAATGTGCTGTGTTTTAATTGCACAGAGGTATCCTGTAGTAATGTCAACATATCTCGGAGTTATGGGTCGAGTCCTGCTACAAAACACTAGTTTTTTTTCTTCACTTCTTAATGAAATGGCACATAAATTTAATCAAGAGGTAAGAATCTATGTACTTATATTGAAGAAAATCTTTATCCAAATAAAGTTTGGAAAAAATTTGGTGAGATAATAAGTCTATAAAAAAAACCTTGAAGTATTTAAACTTTATTTATTGCCTGAATCAAATTTTATTATTGTGTTCAAGAATACAAAATGAAGTCATACATAGTTGAATCATTCATGGAATTACTTTCAACAAGCATGATCTTGAAATAAGTATTTTTGTTATTTTAAATCTTTAATAACCTATGCTGTATGATAATTTGGGAAAAAAAAGAAAGAGGAATCTGTGAGTGGCAATTGAAACTTAAGTTTTTTTCTTTCTCAAAATAGACAGTGTTATTCTACTTAACTATAGGATTGAATTTTGATTTGTTTATGGTTGTAGTTTTTGTTAACTCATACATAAAATGAAACAGGAATACTTTACATACAATCATGTCCTACCTTTGTTTCATTTCTTTAATGAACTTGTTTTTAATGTCATGCAGTGTTTCTGTCATCATTACTGTAGGAAATGACCTTTTCAGCAGAAGTTTATTAAAAACATACTAAGCTGAAACCAGTCACCTGAGTAAGTTTGGAATAGGTTCTTCCAAGAGTTGGTTACTTGAGACTGCATACATTATAGTAAAATATGGTTTTTATGTCTTGAATGATTCATCTGTTAAGGTTTATAAAATGTAGAAGGTAGAATATACCTGACTGGTATCTCTAGAATGGAGGGGCAATTTGGGAAAAATTCAGGTTTTTGGCTGAAACAGATATTACCATCTCCACTTTTAATGAAAATCCAGAGTAAGGAAGTGCAAATTGTAGAATGTATGTTAGTTTTTACAGAATTAGACTAACCTAATTAGAGAACCTAGACTTCATTTTGATGAATAGACAGGAGAGAGTTTTCATTAGCTTCATTAAGTTTAGCTGTGATGGAATAATGTTAAAAGTTTAAAGAGTATATTCAGTTGAGTTCAGCAAAACCTGTTGAGTGATCTTAGTAATAATGTATTTATAAATTTTATGTATTATTTTAAGTCTTCACAACAGTCCAATGAGATAATGATATTTCTATATCTATCTCACACCTGACAAAGTTGAGACTTGGAGAGATTCAGTGACTTGGTCAAGTTTGCAAAGCTAGTAAGTGATGGAATTGATATGCACACCCCAGTAACCTCACTTCATCTCAGTAACCACATTCTGCTGCCTCCTGTACATCCTGAAATAGGCACTTCTCCACTGTATACCCGAGACACTTGGTTTGACAAGCTTGCTTTTTAAAGGGAGAGAGTACTTAACAGGCCATTTTGTAATGTTATTATGTTATATGTCCTATGTTAGAATTATGTCCAGCGTGCTGTGGGAAGTGAAAAATTACTGTTAAATTTTTTTGCCAGTTTTTTTTTTCCTTGTGATAAGATACACATAGCATAAAATACCATCTTACCTATTTTCAAGTATGCAGGTCAATGGTATTAAATATAATAATGTACAATCTTCACCACCATCCATCTCCATAACTCTTTCAGACTTCTAAAACTTGAACCTCAGTACTCATTACACAATAACTTCTCATTACCCTCTCCCTGTAGCCCCTGGAAATACCATGCTACTTTTTATGTCTGTGATTTTTGACTACTCTAAATACCTCATATAAGTGGAATCATGCAATATTTGTCTTTTTGTGACTAATATATCACTTAAGCATAATATTCTGAATGTTCATGGTGTGTGCATGCTTAGTCGTGTCTGACTCTTATTAGTGACTCCATGGACTGTAGCCCACCAGGCTCCTCTGTCCATGGGATTCTCCAGGCGAGAATACTGGAGTGGGTTGCCATTTCCTTCTCCAAGGATCTGAATGTTCATAGTATTGTAGAATATGTCAGAATTTCCTTTCTTTTTAAGACTGAATAACATTCCATGGGGTGGGTGTGTGTGTGTGTGTGTGTGTGTGTGTGTGTGTGTACAATGTTACTATAAGATAATGGCTGTACTTTCCTGTGCTATGCAGTATGTCCGTGTTGTTTATTTCTGACCCATTTTGAGTTGAATTTTGTATATGGTATGAGGTAAGGATCCAACTTCATTATTTTGCATATGGTTATTCACTTTTTACAGTGCCATTTATTGAGAAGATTGTCCTTTCCTCATTGAATGATCTTGGCACGCTTGTCAAAAATCATTCAATCATTTATGCAAGGGTTTATTTCTGGGCTCTCTATTCTATTCCATCGGTCTATATGTCTACTTTTGTATGATTATCACATAATTTTGATTACTAAAACTTTGTAATGTATGTTGAAATTCAAAAGTGTGAGTCCTGTGGCTTTTTTCATCCTTTTGGAGATGATTTTGTCTATTCAGGATCCTTTGAGATTCTCAATGAACTTTAGGATGCCTTTTTCTATTTCTGCAAAGAAAAAATATTGAGATTTTGATAGAGGTTGCACTGAAACTGTAGATTGCTTTGAGGAGTAGTTGTTTAGTCACTCAGTCATATCCGACTATTCGCGACCCAAGGGACTGCAGCACTCCAGGCTTCCCTGTCCTTCACTGTCTCCTGGAGTTTGATCAGACTTGTGTCCTTTGAGTCAGTGATGCCATCCAACCATCTTGTCCTCTGATGTCCCCTTCTCCTCCTACCTTCAATCTTTCCCAGCATCAGAGTCTTTTCCAGTGAGTCGGCTCTTTGCATCAGGTGGCCAGTGTATTTGAGCTTCAACTTCAGCATCAGTCCTTTCAGTGAATATTCAGGACTGATTTCCTTTTAGGATTGACTGGTTTGATCTCCTTGCAGTCCAAGGAACTCTCAAGAGTCTACTCCAACACCACAATTCAAAAGCATCAATTCTTCAGTACTCAGCATTCTTTATGATCCAACTCTCGCATCCATACATGACTACTGGGAAAACCATAGCTTTGATTAGACAGACGTTTGTTGACAAAGTAATGTCTCTGCTTTTTAATATGTTGTCTAGGTTTGTTGTAGCTTTTTTCTAAGGAGAAAGCATTTTTTCATTTCGTGGTTGCAGTCACCATCCACAGTGATTTTGGAGCCCAAGAAAATAAAATCTGTCACTGTTTCCATTGTTTCCCCATCTATTTACCATGAAGTGATGGGACTGGATGCCATGATCTTTGTTTTCTGAATGTCAAGTTTTAAGCCAGCTTTTTCACTCTCCTCTTTCACCTTCATCAAGAGGCTCTTTAATTCTTCTTTGCTTTCTGCCATAAGTGTGGTGTCATCTGCATATCTGAGGTTATTGATATTTCTCCCAGCAATCTTGATTCCAGCTTGAACTTCATCCAGCCCAGCATTTCTCATGATGTACTCTGCATGTAAGTTAAATAAGCAGGGTGACATTATACAGCCTCGATGCACTCCTTTCCCAATTTTGAACCAGTCCATTGTTTCATGTCTGGCCTAACTGTTGCTTCTTGAGTTGCATATGGGTGTCTCAGGAGGCAAGTAAGGTGGTCTGGTATTCCCATCTCTTTAAGAATTTTCCACAGTTTGTTGTGATCTCCATATCAGAGGCTTTAGCTTAGTCAATGAAGCAGATGTTTTTCTGGAATTCTCTTGCTTTTTCTATGATCCAGTGGATGTATTGACATTTCTTAATATTGTCTTGCAATCCATGAATGTGGGCTATGTTTTTTTATTTATTAATGTCTTAATAAGAAATGTTTAGTATTTTTTGTTATATGTCTTTCCCCTCCTTGGTTAATTCCTAAGTGTTTTATTCTTTTTGCTGGTTATATAAATGGAATTGTTTTTGTACTTTCTTCTTTAGATTGTTCATTGCTCATGTATAAAAATGCAAGTGACTGTTGTTTGTTGACTTTATATTTTGCTACTTTGATGAATTTATATATTCTCGCAGTTTTTTTGGTGGCATCTTTGGGACTTTCTATATATAAGAACATATCATCCAAAAGCATAATAATTTTGCTTCTTCCTTTCCAGTTTTGATGCCTTTTATTTCTTTTGCTTGTCTAATTGTTCTGGCTAGAACTTGCAATACTGTGTTGAATAGAAGTAAAATTTGGCATCCTTGCCTTGTTCCTGGCAAAATAGAAATAACCTGTGGCAGGTGCTGATGCTGCTTCAACCTGTTGACAGTATGAAGGATTGGAGAGAGATGTTATAGGGTCAGACTTATTTCTGTCACTGAAGTAAGAGCACTGGCTTTTCATGTAACACTTCTCAGTGTGAAGAAAAAATGTTTTTCGCAAAGAATTCGCCAAAAATTGTCAAAGCCATCATGTTTGAGTCAAGAGACTATGTGAATGAAAGAGAATGAAATTTTACTGTAGTTTAAATGACTACTGTTGACTGTGAGCCTGGTTTTAAAGGACATCAGAATTAAATAGGACTGGGAAATTGAGTTCCAGTAAATTCAGATAACTTTGAACAAGCAAAGATTTTGCAGAAGGGCTTGTCTCTTCTAAACATATGAAAACAGTTGTCAGTAGAGGAAACCAAGTTAATTATGAGTGATTTTATATTTTTAGGAAAGAAGTTGGGTTCGTTGTAAAAGTCACTGTTAGAACAGTGCACCTGCTTAGTCCACCTCTAAGCATTTGCTAATCAAAGTCTTTCAGAGTCGTTTTCTATCTTGAATGAAGAATACTTTTTAGACGAAAACCTAATTCAGTTTAGAGCCTAGAGTGTTGAAGAATGGTACTTTTGCTGTAGGGGAATTTGCTAGAAAATGACAGTATTTGTAGGCCCCTTTTCTCTATAGACTTACTTTTTCTTCCAAAGGATAGCATCTTTCTTTGTGTAAACACATGTTGTGGAATTCAGGACGGGGGGAAGGGCTTTGGGGATTACGGCTTTTCACCACTAAGCATCTTGATTTTCATTTAGATCATCTAATTTTAATTTGTTTCTCACCTTGTCTTCTCCCTGTTCTTGATGCCTTGAGTTGGAACTTCTCAAAATTTATTTTTGCAGATACTGAATCTTTGTACTCCTATAAGAGTGGGGATGGTGATCTGGAAGTTTCTAATTGTTCCTTATACAGATTCTCAACTAGTTTTCCTGTTTTGAGCTCTATGCCACTGTCTTCTTTGTGGCCTGATAATTGCAAGATTCTGAGAAACAAGTCTGTTTGCATTAGACTGTTATTCCCCTGTCAAGCAGTTTGTTTCTAGGCTTTTTTGTTCTACTAGTAAAGTAATGCTCAAAATTCTCCAAGCCAGGCTTTAGCAATACGTGAACTGTGTACTTTCAGATGTTCAAGCTGATTTTAGAAAAGGCAGAGGAACCAGAGATCAAATTGCCAACATCCGCTGGATCATCGAAAAAGCTAGAGAGTTCCAGAAAAACATCTATTTCTGCTTTATTGACTACGCCAAAGCCTTTGACTGTGTGGATCACAATAAACTGGAAAATTCTGAAAGAGATGGGCATACCAGACCACATGACCTGCCTCTTGAGAAACCTATATGCAGGTCAGGAAGCAACAGTTAGAACTGGACATGGACCAACAGACTGGTTCCAAATAGGAAAAGGAGTACATCAAGGCTGTATATTCTCACCCTGCTTATTTAACTTATATGCAGAGTACATCATGAGACACACTGGGCTGGAAGAAGCACAAGCTGGAATCAAGATTGCCGGGAGAAATATCAATAACCTCAGATATGCAGATGACAGCACCCTTATGGCAGAAAATGAAGAGGAACTAAAAAACCTCTTGATGAAGGTGAAAGAGGAGAGTGAAAAAGTTGTTTAAAGCTCAACATTCAGAAAACTAAGATCATGGCATCCAGTCCCATCACTTCATGGCAAATAGATGGGGAAACAGTGGAAACAGTGTCAGACTTTATTCTTTGGGGCTCCAAAATCACTGCAGATGGTGATTGCAGCCATGAAATTAAAAGATGCTTACTCCTTGGAAGGAAAGTTATGACCAACCTAGATAACATTAAAAAGCAGAGACATTTCTTTGCCAACAAAGTCCGTCTAGTCAAGGCTATGGTTTTTCCAGTTTTCATGTATGGATATGAGAGTTGGCCTGTGAAAAAAGCTGAGTGGTGAAGAATTGATGCTTTTGAACTGTGGTGTTGGAGAAGACTCTTGAGAGTCCCTTGAACTGCAAGGAGATCCAACCAGTCCATCCTAAAGCAGATAAGTCTTGGGTGTTCATTGGAAGGACTGATACTGAAGCTGAAACTCCAATACTTTGGCCACCTGATGCGAAGAGTCGGCTCGCTGGAAAAGACCCTGATGCTGGGAGGGATTGGGGGCAGAAGGAGAAGGGGACGACAGAGGATGCGATGGCTGGATGGCATCACCAACTCGATGGACATGAGTTTGAGTAAACTCCGGGAGTTGGTGATGGACAGGAAGGCCTGGCGTGCTGTAATTCACGGGGTCACAGAGAGTCGGATAAGATTGAGAGACTGAACTGAACTGAACTGAACTGAAGTCACTTACTAAGCACTCTTTCATCCACTTGCCATCTTCTAAAAAGTTGTTGCCATCTTTACCAATTGTAGTTTCTTCTCTTTTATAGACCCTGTGGGGTTATTTGCTTGCTTTTTATATTTATTTACTTTCATTTTAGTTGAATTTCAGAGGTAGTGAGCAAATGTTCAATGCTAAACTAAAATTGTTTTCACAATGACAATATGCTTCTAGGGTAAATAACTTTTTTAAAAAGATTCGGCAAGTTGTTTGTAGCTGAATAATTAGAATAATATTTGTTTATCTTTCTACAAAACTAAGACTGAACTATACCTTGAGTATTTCTTTGTTTTCTAGAAACATTATCATCTTACTCTTTCTGACAATACCCTTTAATTTAAACTTTGTAAATTTGGGGGGAGGAGTGAAACATTTTGATAACATACTTCAGTTCTACAAATTTTTCATCTTAAAGAGATGACTTTCTTCAAGACCTGCCTCTTAGATTATTTTCCCCTTAATCTGTTTTAAGTGTTTGACTTGAAATAGCACATATCTTTCTGATACTGGAGAGTTTGAAGGTACTTTTTTATTTCCACAAGATGAATGATATTTCATGAAATCTTATGTAAAAATGACATTTTATTGCTTGAATAGCAGCTGCTATGAAGGTTAGATTAAGACCACAACATTTGGAGAGAGAAAAAAAGATCGCTATTTGCATAAGTTATAAAAGATAAGTTTTATAGATAGTTAAAAAGATAGAACCAGTCAGAAATAAAATTTTTTCTTTCTATAATGGGTATTTATTTAATTGTGGTATCTTTAGCATGACCTGCCAGGGTAGATTTCTGCATATGTTATCAAGGTAGAGAAATCTCATCATCTTTTTATTATGCTGCTTAAGAAATACTTTAATTTTAGAAATTAATAGTTCTGTGAAATATTGCAGAATTTTTTTGCTTCATGATTCACTATAACTAGTCATCAACATTTGTTACAATTGTTTTATTTCTGTTTTTGTTATGTCCTGTTGTTACTTTTATAATAGAGCAAACAAGTGTAAGTTATAAATAGTATTAGACCATAGAGATGTCTCTGCTGATTACATCTTCATTTCAACTACATGTTATTCTAGCTTTAGTTGTATATATTAGATTTTAGTAACTTGATACTTTCTTTTGTTTGGTTATGCTTTGTTTTTAAAATCTTGCTTACTTGATATTAATTGCAGTAAATCTGTAAAGCATCTGAGCCATTTGTTTCCAAATTAAGTGAACATTGAAGACACATGGTATAAATCATCAGTTACTAGACTGTATTGCTTCATGGTGTCCTTAATGTGTTAGTAACATTTTCACAATGCCTCTAGAGTAAATATCTAACTGTTCTTTTGATTACATAATCCAAATAACTTAATTTGTATTCATGTCCTTATAACTTCGTATCTATTGAAAATTGTACACAAAAATATGAAGAATAACATCTTTATTTCATTCTTAAATAGCCGCAGTTACTGATTAGTGGAATATGAATGGCCACTGGGCACTACCAAGATTCTTAAACCTTAGATTCAGGTTGGACACCTCCACTGTCATCTTCTGTTCTACCTTGACTTTTTGATAGTACTGTGCAAAGATAGGAAGTCATCAAAAGGAATGTAATGTTAAAACGGGGAACTATATTGAGCTAGTAGTTCTTGCAGTAATCGACAGATGTCACTGTGTTTCTCTGAATAATTTTAAATACTTTGTGAGTTCACTGTGGCATCTTAGGACACAGCACACTGGGGAGCTCAGGTATAAATGATTGTCTTGAACTAGTAAGTGTTCACTTGACTGTTATTATCATTTAAACTGTGTTGGAAAAAAATGTATTGAAGCATTTCTTGGAAAAGATGTAGAAGCACAAAAGTAGGACAGTATGGGAACTGAAGGTTGATTCTATGTTACTAAAATCTGTGAAGTACGAATTTTGGTGTTAAATGCCTTTTTAAAAGATGGAATAGTGTACAAATGTTCATAAGCAAACCTGAGACCCACTTCCAGTCTACATGATGAGTGTACTTGGTCATGCTTTATTATATAGATTCTACCTATGCCTTAGTTAGGGTTCTTCAGAAAAACAGAGCCAGTTCTGTGTGTATGGAGAGAGAGAGATTGAGAGAATATACACACATACAGGTATGCACACATGAGAAGCGGAAATGGATATTAAAAGAATTGGCTCTTATGATTGACTGCAGGGGCTAGCAATTCCTAATTTTGTAGGGCAGGCTGAAAATAAAAACTCGGGGAGGATTTTTCTGTTACATTCTTGAGACAGGGTTTCTTCTATTTATAGGAAACCTTAGTTTTTTTCTTAAGGCTTTCATCTGATTGAATGACACTATAGTCACATTATCTAGGGTAATCTACTTAATGTCAGCTCATTGCAAATGTTAATCATATCTGCAAAATATTTTCATGGCAGTGTCTAGACTAGCATTTGACCAAACAAGTGGACCCTTAGCCTAGATGAGTTGAACAAGTCTATTTGGCACTCGATTGGCTCTCAAGATTAATTAGATTCCTTCTCTGATTTTGCTCATTTTTTTCCCCCAGCTCACAGCTTGCCCCACATTCTTGTATTCCAGTTCTGTGGTTTGTTGGAATTGTACTTTAACCTTTTTTATGGGGTTTTTGCCTTTAACAGTACTTATAATTAAAGAGCATTTCAAATATTTTGAGATGCCTTCTGGTCTTTTTTTCAGATGGACCAGCTTTTGGGAAATATGATTGAAATGTGGGTTGATCGCATGGACAATATTACCCAGCCTGAAAGAAGAAAACTTTCAGCTTTGGCTTTGCTTTCTCTTCTGCCATCTGATAATAGGTGAGGAAATGTTTACTTAAAATTTGTTTATTAAAGCATCAAAATACTAGCACTGTTTTGGCTATTGGTATTGCTGTGTATTGCTGGGCAGTGCTGTTTTATGCATATGTATGCTAATTTTGTTAGTTGATAACCAACGAAGTGCTGACCTGGATCTAAAAAGGTGGGAATGGTGGGCATTGCAGTTTAATTTGTTGGTGTTCCTTTTACCAATTTATCTCATTTTTGTCTGAATTCCCATTTTAAAAAATAACCAGATTTTATTAGATTTAATTTTGGGTCCTTGTTTTATATAAATATATTAAATAAATAATATTTCAATGTCAGTAAAACTTCATAAAGTGTATTATCCTCCTAGTAATTCAATAGTTTGTTACATAATTGTTAATTTTGGATTATCTCTATAGAAGCTTACAAGTTATTTTTTCTCCTTATATAGATGAAGTCATTATATTATACTTTACAAACTTTATTAAAATTCTTATTTCCGAAAAGCAAATACAAAATGCTTTGATTTCGGGCATTTAAAGAAGAGTAATTTTTTTTTTTTGCTTTTATCCCTGTCTTTTGTTTGGCATTATATTTCTTTTTGGGGTATTTTTAATTTTAGAAGTGTAAAAACAGGCCTTAAGATTTCATGTTGTATGAGAAGAAAAATATATTAGATTTTTTTGCCTTAGAGAATTTTTACAGCACCTGTATCCTAGTGATAAATTAGTGAAATAAGTGCAGTTAGCTTTAGAAATTCTTTTTAAAAACTTATTATTATTTCTGATATAGCAGTTTGGATTAAGAACACATGTAATTATTTAGTCCTCACATCATAATAATATCATATGCTATTGTATGTTATTATAAAAATAGATAATAATTTTTGAGCCCTCGCTGTTACCCAGAAACTGGGTTTACCTCTTGGTGAGTGTCCAGCCCAAAGACACCGCAAGTCAAAGACTGGGAGGTGAAGGATTTAGTGCTTGCAGCAAGGAAGGAGAGTACCAGCGACCTTTCCCCATGCGGCGGCTCCGTGAACAGCGGCACTGGGAAGCTTTAAGCTACCAGTCCATACATAACTGTGAAGGGGCATGGGGAGTCCTCAGAGTCCAAGCTTTGGTTGATTGACGTCACAAGGGTCAGTAAAGGTGAACATCATCATTTCTTAGGTTCCAGTTGATCAGGAGGTTGAATGCCTGGGAAGTTTAAATCCTGCAAAACTGCTCAGGAAAGTGCTTCATACTGTTCTTTACTGATGAAATAGACCTGTGAGTTTTTACAGCTGGTTTGTTATGTTTGCTATTATGTTTTGCTATTGTCATGTTTGCTACTTCTCTTGCTTGATAGCAGTTTGTTCTTTTGTTCCCTTAAAATCATTATTATTAAATCCTTCTCGGTGTTAAGCATTGTAACCAGGCTTAGATTACAAAATGGCATAGGCCAAAAATGGCTTCTCTTATGTCAAGAAAGCCATGCCTCATTCTGTTTCTCTAGGGACCCCCTACCTTATATGCTTACATTACCATTTGCCTTATATTTTGCTAAGTACTTTACATTTATGTCTCATTTAATTTTTAAACAGTCCTGAGTTAGAGACATAATTTTCTAGTTTTTATAGAGCAAAGAAATAACTTAAAAATGTTAAATAACTTGCTTAGGGTCTGGTAAGTGGCATATCAAAAGGCAGATTTTGACCTTGGGCAGCTTGGTGCTGGAGCTTGCTCTTTTAGCTCCCAGGTGGATGTACACAAGGGCAACATTATTTCCTCTCTGTGAAACTGAGTGGCGTCTTATTTTTGTAAGCCAAACTGAAGCTACCAACATTTTAACTTACTGATCTTTCCCTTTTTAGTAGAAAAACAGTGACTAGAGGTTTAACAGGCCCTTAAAGTAGAGATGTTAAAGAATCTGTTCTTTGGCAGTAGTCAACACTTGGTAAACATTTGCTCAGTAAATTAATGAATGGAAAAAAAACTAAGGTTGATAGAACATGTTAGAGTGTTCTCGAACATAAAGTACTGAGATTAAGAGAAAACTTGACATAGGTTAAAAGATGAGAAAGATATCTAATTGTATCTAAAGCATATTTGTTTTACCCTTTTTGATACTATGGTTGACTTCAATATTTAATTTTTTTTAATTTTCAGAAATATTTTTGATATGTAAGTTGTGAAAATAGTTGACTTCTCTAAAGAAAATAAAAAAGGCTTCTTTTAAGGTTAAAGAACACTTAGACTGCTGGGGCCTATTTCAGTGTACATAAATTAAGGGGCAAGATTTTATTAAGGCTTGAATTTCTCTTAAACATTAATTTTTTTAAACTTAAAAATATCATGATATCAGGCTTCCCGATGGCTCAATGGTGAAGAACCCGCCTGCTAATGCAGGAGACACAGGTTCAGTCCCTGGGTCAGGAGGATCCCCTGGAGAAGAAAATGCCAACCTACTCCAGTATTCTTGCTGGAAAATCCCATGGATAGAGGTTCCTGGCAGGCTATAATCCACGGGGTCCCAGAGAGTCGGATACTACTTAGTGGCTGAACACAGCACAGTAATCTATAATGGAAAAGAATCTGAAAAAGAATATATAGTCACTTCGTTATACACCAGAAACTAACACAACATTGTAAATTAACTATACTTCAATAGAAAAAATAAATTTTAAAAATATAAAAAAGAAATTAAAAATTGTGAGGAAATAGCTTTCTGAATAGGAAAATCAGGTCTTATTTTTGTTTTTAAAATGAAGTATTGAAAAGTCTGCTGAGTGGTTGTAAATTCATATCATTTTAAGGGTACCTAGAAAGTCTTAAAATAATGTGGTAATAGAATTTTAAAGAATAAGCATTTAACTTTATAGTCCTTGCTGGATTAGTGAGTAAAGAAGCGTTGATAGATACAGGAAATGTGTCCATTTGAAAAACAAACAAAACAACTTAATTGCTCTAAAAATTTGCCACATTATCATTGGCCCATGACATAGCTTTGGAAAATTTAGGTTCAAGTGCTTTAGTGGAAGGGAATGTTGACAGTGTCAGCAGTTTTATCATTTCCAGTTATAACCTTTCTTCTATTGGGTTGACCAAAAAGTTCCTTTGAGTTTTTCTGTATAGAAAAATTTTCAGCCCAGTACTTAAAACTACATAGTTGATGGAGTTTGAGGAAAATTTTCCCTCTTTCATGTCCCCGGTGATATTTTCTGGTTAATCTCCCATATAATAGTAATTTCTTCTTCCTGTGTTTCTTTTAGGCTTTGCAGTGTAACATTTCCTTTGCCTGAAATAAGCAGATGTAGCGAATAATGTGTTGATGATGATATTTTGAATCAGGCTACATTGGCAAATGTTATTTTCTTCTTTATTATAACGGATTTCCACATGCAAGAAATAACACTTTTCTAAAGCCGGGTTTCTCAACCACAGTACTTTTGACTGTTTGGGCCCAGATGATTGTTTGATACTGGGGCTGTGCTGTGCGTTTTAGGCTTTTTAGCAGCATCTGTGGCCTTTACCCACTAGATGCCGGTAGAACCACTGATTTGAAGAATGACTGTTTGGGAAGCTATTTAAGCTATCTTTTACCATGATCCACCACCTGATTCAGATCTCTGGCAAAGACTGTAGGCTTTAGGACCACACTCAGATTCTAGTGCCACTGATCACTAATGACCATGTGCCAAATAACTTCCTTGAAATGAGGATATTAATAGTATCTTCCTGATTAGAGTATTATAAAGATTAAATGAGTTTACATATTAAGGTTACACAGTCTAGATAAATGAAGTTAGTTGTTTTTGTTTTATCCCTTTCTTCCTCTCTCTCAACCATTCATCCATTTCCTGCAGTATAAGTTCTGAAAGCTTAAGTCTTTTTGTGTACCTCTAATCTTAAATTTAGGACATTTTCAGTATATTGAGTATTTATAAAATTGTTCATTAATTCATTAAAAATATGTTAACCACATGTGTCAAAGGTATGTCACCTTCAGCTTAATGACCTTTTGTAGTATTCTTTCTTCTGCATGTTACTAACTTAAAAATATATAATTTTGCCTTTGCCTTTGTCTTTTAGTATATCTTTTAGGCATTTTTAGCATATCTTCTTGGTCACCTTCTGAATATAGTACAGTCTTTTTTTTTGTTAGTTGTGTGGTACAATTATCTTGTGTCCTTTTTGTTTTATAACTGGAGTGATTCCAAGTTTGAATTTTTCTATTTCTTAAAGTCTATATTATTTATGCACAAAGGCAGTAATATATTCTTCTGCTAATTTTTATATGAAAATAACATTATTTACATACAGCTCTTCTAAAGTTTTCCAAAGTTTTTGTCCAAAGACATAGACTAAATAAAACCTTTTTTCATGATGAAAATGAGAGTAATCAAACTTTCCTTTGGCTCTATTCTCTGAAATAGCAATTCATTCTCTAACTTCATAGACTTATTTTTATAATGTAGTTCTAAGAATTTCAGATGTGTGTAAGTGTTCTCTGAGATGAAATGTTTTAAGAATTTAGTTTTTTTTTTTTTTTTAAGATTTAAGAAAGTCACCCATGGGGAATGGTTTTCTTAAGCTAGTTGAATAATTCAAAAAAAGACTGACGAAGCAACAGGGTTTTTAGGTATGATGGCTTCCTTTCCAGGAGAAGTTGCCTTATAATAATGTCCTCTGGGTATCAGATTTACTAGACATGCTTGGATTGGTCACTTAGTATCTCTCCATAGTTCTCTTTTATCTCAAGAATAGTATAAATAAGATATCAGTATTTGGAAATTTATTATTCTGTACAAAGTTTCTAATATAATTTTCTAAACTAGTTTACAACTTTTAAAACAAGGTAGTAGAATCAAGATGACAGGTTCCAAAGAGTAATACTTTGGTATAGTTTCAGTTCACTTCAGTCGCTCAGTCGACGTGTCCGACTCTTTGCGACCCCATGAACTGCAGCACGCCAGGCCTCCCTGTCCATCACCAGCTCCTGGAGTTTACCCAAACTCATGTCCATTGTGT